GGCGGCATCCATTTTGCTCTCTGAGTTCATGGCAGTGGTGAAATCCAAATTTTTTTACTACTGGTTCTGTGGGTGTGGCTTGATGGGCATGGTGTGGCTTGGTGGGCATGGCTTGGAGGGCATGGCAAAGAAGAATACTGCAAAATCTCCATTCCCACCCCACTGGGGCCACCAGAGGTGATATTTGCCGATTTTCTGAACTATTCAAAATTTCTGCTACCGGTTCTCCGAACTGCTCAAAATTTCCAGTACCGGTTCTCCTTGAACCTGTCAGAACCTGCTGGATTTCACCCCTGGTTCATGGGGACCTAACCCTAACCCTAAGTGGGTTTTTGCATTCAGCAGAAGAGAAAGGAATGCTTTCATTTTTCAATTTTTCTTTCATTCTCCATTTGCAACTCTGGTGTAACCCTTGAACAATGTGTCCCTTGTATAATCATTTCCAGAAATCTGTGTAATTTTTCTCCTTGTGAGAAAGAAGATAATGTTCAGAGATGATAAAGTGATTCTATGCTTTTTAATCAGTCTTGAGAAAATAATTGTTACATATCTGTCTACATTACAAATACCAACAATTTATTTTCATTAATGAATGTATACTTTCTATATTTTTCTAATCTTAAGCAACTCTGCAGGAGGACTGGGAAAATCCATGAAACTGAGGCAGAAACTCATGTATGTACCACATGCTCCAAATCTCTTCCTTTTCATAGAAAATGGCAGCATTATTTCTAGGAATTCATTTAGGTTTCTCCTGGTTAATCTCCATTGTTACAGAAAAGAATCTTATTAAATATCTGTTATTGATACCAGATCAAGTGAATAAGACATTAAAAAAATTCTTCAATCAACTGTTAAAATTGTTGCTACAATATGGGAAGCATCACATTTTTGTCAAGTGCGCTTTCAGCATTTGGTGCAATAGGAATATTACCAATGACTATTCAACAAAGATTATTTTTAAAATCTGAATTTGGAACCTATCATTTTTCATGTTTGCACAAATCCTTGTAGCCATTAGATGGCACTGGGGCTCTTTCCAATCCTGACTAGTTACAGGAACTATAGGAACTTTGCAATCCACACCTGATAGTACTAGAGTTACAAAATTCATTTCATTACTTTTGAGGTACCTTAAAAAGTTGGCATTACAGAGATAGAAATAACAGAGAGTTGGATTAGTGGATTGATTACTGAAGGATGGAAAACACACTAAAGCGATGCTTTTGTCAGACAATCCGTAAAACCTGACACTTGGAATAAAACTCTTTATGCATGTGGTTTTTTTCTGCAAGAGCAATGGCCACTCCAGTAGATTAAAGGCAACATAAAATTGGCAAAGAGGTTTTTTTTTTTAGCCTAATAGCCTTTTAATGACGATTTCCAGTTACATTGATGGCTTTGGAAGAACATCAGTGCCCCTGAGCTGGGAAAGATGAATTTTGTTCCCAGCACGAGACGAAAGAACATGTCCCTTCTCAACTGAGGTGAATACTCCATTAGTTTTGGACTCAACCAACTGTGATGAGCAATCACACCATGAGCAATATGAAATAAAGCATGTAGTTATGGGGCTGAAGGACATACAAGACTCTGCTGTCCTGGTCTCCTGTGCTAACCAGAGAAAAGAAAGCAACAAAAAAGGAGTTGGAAACTCCAGTAAGGAGCTGTTTTGAGATGTGGGACTTGCCCCAAAGGGGCATTTCATCAGATTGGATTCCCGGGAGGGAGTGGGCATTCCAGAGGAGCAAGAAACAACTCAGTCCAGATAATTTGTGTGACAGAAAGTGGGTGAAGACAGCCCCTTCCTAATAGTTCCCAGAGTACATGCTTCACTAGATAGTAGTTTGTTTCAGTTTGGCAAGATTCTGTCTATAGGTGGAGAACAATAAAGACACCTGATTGGAAGAATCACTGTGTGTCTTTCTTGGTTTTTGAAGCCTGACGAGAAAGCTCTTCACTAGGTTTGTCCAAGGACCCATAGAATCGCAGCCCTTATCAGGCAGGTTATGATTTTTAATTTTTTAAAAATATATATATATATATTCTGCTATTATTATTTTTACAAATAATTCAAGGCAGCAAATATACTTAGTATTTCTTCCTCTCCCTATTTTGCTGACAACAAACCTGTGAGGTAAGTTGGGCTAAGAGAAAGTGATTAGTCCAAGTTCCCCTAGCTGGCTTTCATGGCTAAGGAGGGACCGGAACTCATGGTCTCCACTGCTTTTTGTCCAGAGGCATTTCTAATGGGCACGCTTTAAAAAAAAAAAACAAAAAACATCAATCAAGATTTCTCATGAATCCATTTGATGGAATACAATAGTGCTGAATACCACAGTGGCCTCCTCCACCCCACTGAAACTCTCCTAAAAGCTTTAATAGACTAATGCGTCTTGTATCAATAAACAACAGCTGTGCATCTGGAGTATGCTGATTGAAATGTGCCCAGCAGGAAAATGGCCACGGATTTAAAGCTCTCAATTATGGTTCCTCACCAAGTATACTCATCTTGAACAGCATTATCTTTGTGGGCCTATGTTCCGGACTTCATTTCCTCCTCAGAAATGAAACCTTTCCATAAGGTGAAATTAGTGACCTTCTAATAACAGAAACTATTGTCATTGCCACATGAATGATCAGCTCAAATTCATTCAACCTTCCAGTTGTGTTTTAACGCCAGCGTAATGTAGGAACTAAGAAAACCCAGTTATCTATTGGGAACATGCAAATATGATCCCTGGTGTGCCTGCTATTTTATGGAGACGACAGTCCTGTTAGAAGGCGTGTTCTTTGAAAGGATGCCACATCTTCAAACCCCCATTGAAATTTGATTAAAGACCCTTAGCTAGAACAGGGACCTTGACATTGTCCTTCAACAGTAAGCAGCAGTTCACATAACATGTTGGAGAAAACTGGCACGAGATGGCTAATGACACAAACATCAAATGTAATGTATGCAAATTTAATGCAAATTGCTGTTTGCCTTTGTGAAAATGCATTTAATCTCCGAAAGATATGCAAAGCATCTATCCTTTGTGTAATCACACACAACGTCTGTGGATTCATCCACAAGTACATAAAGGGAACAAGGAAAAAGGAGATTCTGCCATATTCCAGATCTCCAAATGACAGCGAAGAAGGTAAAAGCCTCTGTAAAATCTTTGCTGCCATCTAATCCTGGAATTTTGGTCAGGGTTGATCACATCAGTGTTATTAATTTCTCATCCATTGCCTCAACAGGAAAGTTTAAATTTTTATTTAACATACTTTAGCAAAACATCAGCTGATCAGGTGGCAATTATCCGTTGTCGCGCTCACTTTGTTAGAAACCGTCCTGCCTCCTTCCCAATATTGTAAGATGCCTCATCATAAATTAATCCACCCCTTGCAGTATTGTGCAGGAACATTAATTGGTACATACCTTATCCATGATATGAGTAATGACCCAGCAGGTTTTCAGAAATAGACTTGAAATGATATAAATGCTGTTTCACTCTACAGATCCAATTGCCATAGAATGAAAGAAAGTGGCAATGATGAATTTGCAATCTGGCAAGGAAGTGAACAGGAACACTTGTATTTTCTCTCAATTGACCAGGCAAAGCAAAGGAATATCTGGAAGGGGAAAAGAACGCTCTAAAGGCGCGAAGGATTCTTCTGCCATCGCTAGCTAAACCAAGGGGAAGGGTTTCTGTCCTCTAGGGAAGATGTCACCTGGGGCATGAGGTCAGCTTGGGAAGGACTTCTTTTAAGACTACAAAGGAAGAGCCTCTCCACGTCTGTAAATGGAATTCCTGAGCAGTTTAGGAACAATGGGGTCCTTGGTATTCTCTGAGCTTGATGGTTTTCTTGCAGGTGTGCCATTACCAAACTAGATAGCATCATCAGTATCAGCGAGCGCGGGTTTACTGCCTGTTTATATACAGTAGCTTGCCCTGCCAGCACTAATACTGATGATGTTACTTTATTTGGTAATTAAATAGCTACAAGAAAACAACCAAGCTGAGAGCACAGAGGATCCTCCAGTTCGACTCTTGAGCTACAAATATCCCCCTTCTATCAGTTTAGAAACAATTTCAATGGAAGGAAACAGTAATTATTTTAAAGTATGCATCTCCATTGAACAAGGTCCCCCTCTGCCCAGGAACACAGCCTCTCTCAGTGCCTACTCAGATATAAACCTGACCAAGTGCTGTCGGACCTTCTCCAAGTTAAGTGGATATGGAATTGCAGCTTAAAGGGTAAAAAACAATGTGAGTTTTTTGTTTTTTACATTTTTATTAAAATACTTTAGTAAAACATCAGTTAAATATAGTGTAGGCAATTATCTGTCATTGTATTGAATGGTTAAAACTGTTCAGTGAGTTTTTTGGCATTATAAAATAGCTTGTCTTTTAAATATGAATCGGGAGGGAGGGAGGGAGAGGGAGAGGGAGGGAGGGAGAGGGAGAGGGAGAGAGAGGGGGGGGCGCTAAATAAGACTCCTAACTTTTGCTTGAGGTCTGGATATCAATAGAGATCCCCCTGTTAGCTGCAGTTTACAAATCTCTTTGGCTTTGTACTTGACCCAGTTTCTGACTCAGATGACAACCCCCAGTGCAGAATCACTACTTCAAACCAGGACAAGGAGGCACGAGGCCTTTTCAATGCTTTTCCTCTGCCTGCATGTCATAATTGGAATGTTTTTATGAATGCCAGTGGGAACGTCTTCTCTGTGCAAACAAACAGGGGAGCATGGGAAAAACACATGAAAAAAATTAAAATTGAGACATTTTTAAAATAATTTTGCTGCATGCTATTTAATTTTTCCTTTCAAAAGTTAAGTTGTGGCTTATGTATTCCTGGAATTACCAAAAAGGGAAAAAAATGTTCATCGGTAATTGGTGGTGTGTAAGACAGGAATATCTCATGTAAAAATACAAGTACTAAATAACAGATGAGTTACAACGCTGCATTGGGTCTATGAAAGTGTCAATATATTAAAACACAAACACAAGTATCAAGAATGATTTAATGATTAAACACAAAACATAACAATGCAGGTATTTCTGACAAGCTTAAGTTTTTTTTTTAAATTTTTAGCACACACATATTTAGACAGCATATTTTGTTTGAATGGTAAAGCTGCTGTATGAAATATGTGAAAACTTTGTAAATCAATACCTAGAAACCAAGACATGTACATATAAGTTTTGAGAACATTAAACACGCACACACACACAGACACACTTAGAGGCACACACACAAAGTAAATCAGTGCTGTCTCATTCAGAAACAGGAGAGGGTGGGGGGGAAAGGGAGGGATTGACTGAAGAAGAAACAAATCGAATTTGCAAAGCTAATAAAGAGAACTAATAATTAGTCTCAAACATTAGCTGAGCAAGAACATGGTAAACTCATATCTGTATAAATATAAAATCATAAAACTCTGAATATATAAATTTGGACAGACAAGGACAGCGGGAATGGCTTGATACAAAGTACAGATTAGCATGTTAACAGATTAAAACGCCACCATTCTACACAGTATATTTCTTTACAGATACCTGCTTATCAACCAACACTGTATATATCTCTGTGTGGTTTGTGTGTGGGAGGGAACAGTTACAACAGAGATTTCAACAAGCATTTCCCAAACAAATGCCCGACGACACAAGGAACCAGAGAAGAAATGGACGAAAGGAAACAAACCTCATTTTGTTCCAAGAATTTGTCATATAACTATAGTCTGATATGAGCTAACGCAACACTCTGAAAAGGCAAAAACTGGAAAACATTTACTAGAGGCACATTTCTAAAGTCAATGAGTTGGATCCAGGAGTTGCTTTTATGAATGGAAGGTTTCCTATTTGCACTGGGACAGATCCCCTATTTTGCAGAAAAGTTTCCCTTAACAGATGTAGCCTTCTCTTCTCCACACTATTCATTCTCAAGTAAACTCTGGCTTCAATACTGCAGAGGAAGGAGGGGAGAGGGAAGCCAGGGTTCATCCCAAAGGTTTCTTAAAATTGCAATTACAACCAATTGGCAAAAACTAGGAAAAACAGGGCAAGGGCTAGATTTGCCCAGAAACAGATTTGAAGTGTGGTTGAAACAATGCTGTAGGTTCATGAGAATCTGTTGCTCAACATCTGCTATTTTCAGAGATCTGCTTCACAATTTAATCACGATCCCTTTCCTTGGCTCACCACGGTCCAACCTGAAGACTCAGTCTATGGTTTTTTTTCAAGCGAGGGAAAGACTCGGTGATGAAATGGGAAAAGAACCCGCTGGGCCTTCCTCAAGGGGAACGAGGCAGCTGGTTTCATCTGAGATGTCGCCAGTCGTTTTGAAAAGAAAGAGCAACAATTTTCAGGATGCAACACTGGGAACGTTTGGTGGGAGAAAGGTAGCAGGCTAGCCTCCCTAAGCATCCTGCAATGCTTAGAGAGAGTCAGCATCCCATTCTAGACACTGCCAAAGCAAACACGCAGTTTCCATGACTTATTAGAAGTTAATGGAGAGGGAAAAAAATTACTTTTAAAAGGTGAACTGCTGCAGAATTGTTACAAGAAAAAGAACAAGTCCTGACCAAACTAAATGGCTATATATTTTTTTCTTTTTAGCACTGGTGTCATTTCAAACAGAGCATATATAGAAGGGTGAGCGCCTTTGAGCATGTCCGCTTTCACACGTCCTAGACAGCCCACGGCATCTCTTTTGATTTGTGAAAGGAATTAAACAACGTTGCACCTGGGCTGAAGGAGATGCACAGCATACTGCGTGTGTGAAGGATTTACAGGGGATTGCCCTACCTTTCTGAGTTACCACTTGTATGGTAGATAGACATTTTTATTTTCTAGACCTGAAGATAGCCATTTATGAAAAGGGTCAATTAAGGAGATCCTATCGCCGATTTGGAAATATAATCCCTCCACAGGAAATGAGGCTATTCGCTTGAACACGCGGGGAGACCCACATGTATACATGTATGTGAACTTTTCATTAATGACCCTGTGCTTCTGCAACATTTGGTATCCGTACCAGGGCATAAAATGCCATTTGAGAAGCTGCCCTCTTAGAATGAAACAGTTCCATACATTTCCAAACTGGTAATTAGATTTTAGGCCCTGCTTTTATTTTGATTTAAGGCATGTGTGTTTTAAACTACTGGAAAAAAACAAACAAACTGAATTTTGTCATACAAATTACAGTAACATGCACTATCTACAGTTAAAAATATGAGTCTGAATTACAGTTTTGGAATCGTGAATCCTAATTCAGCACCTATTATATCAACTAGTAAGGCAACAGCAGTGTCTGTCATACTACAATAATACTTCCTTCCACATTTTATGCTTCAGTCTATGATCATCCAGGATTATCAACGTCATCAACTTTAGCTTATGGATAGTTTCTAGGATGTTTTGCACTGGTTAAATCCTACATAAATCGACACTATTCTAGGCAGGAATAGTTACAGTAGCTGTCAAGAGTTATCAGTGCACAACACATATTGTGCTTACAATCATATTTTGTTGTTGTTGCCTGGGATATCAGAATAGTTTTTCAGTTTGGTCTTCAATCCTTCCTTTGTTTTATTTGCTTCACATTGTTCCCAAAAGAAGAAAAGCTATTTGTGTGCCCGTTCATAGCAGCTGCAGACCCATTCTGATATTCTTTCCTTCTGGAGGCTGCTTTTTTGTTGTAAGTCTTTAAAAAACAACAACACAAACACACAGAAAGACAGGTCAATAATAGCTTTTGCCACAGTACCAAAGAGAAGGGGGGGGGGGGAGATCAGTTTTTTTTTAAAAAAAAAATACATAAATATCTTCCTCTACTCAGACTGCCTTAAGGGGCGGAGTCTGATTTGTGATCAGAATTAAAGTTTGCTCAAACCACAGTGTCTCTTGCAACAATGAAAAATAAACTATAGCTTATTGTAAAAAGTGATCAGAACTTTCTCTTCATACAGCCTATGGGTAGGGGGATGCTCATGCAACTCTCCTAATTTCGGGGAGATCCAAAGGTGCTCCTCACTATATTCAATATGTTATCTCATCCTCCTAAATTTGGGACACAGAACCAGGACGAGTTGAAAACAACTTAAGATCCCCACCAAACTAACAACTGGGGGGGGGGGGGGGAAGAGAAGAGACAAATTTATTTAGCTCACTGTATAATCTTTTAGAACAGGGGTGTTAAACTCAAGGCACAGGGGCCGGATCCAGCCCGCGGGGCTGCCCTGGAAACAGCAAAGGACAGGCCCATGGTGCCTCTGCCAGCAAAAACAGAGCTTGGGAGGCCCTCCCGAGCTCCTATTTCACTGGAAGAGGGTTGCAGGAGGCCGTCGCAGCCAAAAATGGAGCTTGGCAGCCAGTTTTTGCTGGCAGAGCGCTTGGGCCACCACGGGCGCCCCGACACGAGTGATGTTGAGCTGGCCACGCCCACCCTGGGCCCCTGAAGTCAAACACAATCCTGATGCGGCCCTCAATGAAATTGAGTTTGACATACCTTTTAGAACAAAATTTAGGTAATTCTATAGCAGGGGTCCCCAACTCCCAGGTCATGAGCCATTTGGAACCAGAAGGAGTGAGTGAGAGCACATGCGCATTCCTACTTGTGTGAGCAGCCGACGAGCACACATGCATTTGCATGGTGCCCACCCCTTGTGCAAATGGAGCTACGCTCACATGTGCTTGCCGACCGCTTGTGCGAAACCATCCGTTCTTCACACACACAACCCCCGCCAGTCCACAAAGCTGGAAAGGTTGGGGAGCTCTGTTCTATACTACCTTTTCAGATGCCTACTAGGACTGCAATGTTTCAGTTTTGAAGGCCAAAAAGTTTGAGTCTATGGGGGCACAAAAGTAGACCTGCCTATAAATTCTTAAAGCAACTGTGTTGTTTTCCAGAATGATCCTGAAACTGGGAGAAGACGTATTTGGCTTAAAGATCTATAGATAAATGCAGTCCTGATAGAATGAAATTCTCTCCCACATTAAAATCCAACTGTCCACAAATTGAAAAAACAGACTGGTGATGAACATCCCACACCCATTCTTCTGGAAAATACCTGACTTAACTTACCTGGACATAGAAATTTGTGAAAAGGATAATCAAGGAGATCATATAACCAATTTGGAAGTATAACCATCCCATAGGGAACCGACAAGGCCAAACGACCCCACAGCTTGTCTGGATGATTGTCAGAACAAATTGAATCTGTTGGGTAAGAGGAGAAAATGGTTATTTAAGGAAACAACACTGTTGTGGTAGCCAAGCAGAGCAGGAATCAATCAATCAATCAATCAATCAATCAATCAATCACTTCCTATGCTCTTCTTAAAATCTGCACCACAACTTCCAGTCATTCCATAAGGAAAATGGCACTCCATTCCAAAAAGTTCAGGCTAACTGGGAGACAGATACTTCTGATATTCAACCAAACTGAAGAGCTAGTGTGTAAAACACGAAGGGAGGTTACCGAAAAAATAAAAGTGACTGTTGTGCAAATAAGCAGTGCTTAAAGATATTTTGTCATGAGTCTCAAGCTATCGTTTCGAAATTGTTACAGGAAATGGAAAGGAGCTAAGCGACTGCCTTCAGGAGTGAGATTAGCATAGCAACAAGTTGGTTGGTCGTAATTCCTCCAAGAGGCCAGAAACAATGAACACACTGAAAGTGGCTCACTTGACAGTGCCCTCATCAAGATCCCTGTGTTTGTTGCAGTACAGGGAGTCCTTGATTTACAACCATTCATTCAGTGACTGTTCGAAGTTACAATGGCACTGAAAATTTTTTGACAATTACAGTTACATGCTTTGCAGCATCCCCAATGGTCACGTGATCAGGATCAAAACACTTGTCAGCTGGCATGTATTTATGATGACTGCAATGTTGCCTGATTACCTTTTGCCACCTTCTGACAAGGAAAGTCACTGGGGGAGCCAGATTCACATTACAATTATGTTATTAACTTAAGTATAAGGATTCACTTAACAATGCCGAAGGAAAGGTCGTAAAATGCGCCAAAATTCGCTTAAAAGCTGTCTGACTTATCGGCAGGGAGTTTGGGCTCAATTGTGGTCGTAAGTCGAGGACTACCTGTATGTCAAGTGGAGCTCTTCAGTTGTACATGCCTTTGTTTGTATACTAAAGGGTGGGGCATAGACTGGAGCTTCTGCATCTGCTAAAAATTGCTGTGAAAATCAAATAGGGCAGTCTACTGAATTTTTCCTCTCCTGGACAAGTGTTCCTGGAGTTTTGCAGGTTACTATCAGGTCATACAATGAATTTGGGTGCATTCAGATTTAATACAATGTGCAAATACAGTCCGCAGCTAAGATTGAGGTTAAGGCAAACAGCTTTAACTACAATCAGAAACCAGGAATTTTAATTAGCATATAAGATCTGTGGCCATATGGGTTAAGATGTCGTACAAACGGGTTCATCACAAAACGAACTTACTCATATTTGTTCAAAAAAAAAAAAAAGCAACCACAGTCACTACAACTCACCAGCTGCCCCTGAGTGATGTATTTCTTCCACCAGAGATATGGACGCATAGATGGGATAGCAGACAGTCCATAGTAGGAATACATGAGGACATGAATAAAGCTGTTAAGAGTGGCACCAAAATATGCTGTAGGTTGTAAGGAGACAGGGGAAAATACAATGATGAAAGGGGTTGTCTTAAAAGTCGCTCTACGTCAATTATAAAATTAATATTTTACAAACCTTTAAAACTTAATCCAAGATTAGAATAGAATTAAATCTTGAAGCCACTAAAGAAAGGTAATTTAATGTCATATATGAACTGGTTGTAATTATAACTTGTTAATTATAAGAAGTTTCTCCTAAAGCTACTTAAGATTGTAGTTTCTAGGGAATGGCTACAAATTATAATAGAACACTGACTTTGTTTACAAACCATAATTCATCAACATTTATTACAATCAGCAGTCAATCTACATAACAATGGAGATAGAAGACACATCTATTTACATCATACTTTGCATCTATGCATCTATCAGAGGTGAATTTTGAATTCACAGTGACTATTTCCTCATCTCTCTCATTTGCTACCCTGGTGCAAACAGATGCAGTTATGTCATGCGAGTGCTGCATGCATCTGATGGAAGCCTCCACACTGCATGAACATCTAAACGATAGTGTGGTGTCATCTAAGTGTGACATCGAGGTACAGCTGCTACTGCACGGAAAAGCTCTTTGATAGCTTCTGCCTGGCGTTGTTTTTGATAGTCTGGATACCTACTTCCAATTGTAACTCAGAACATCTAAGCACAGTGCAAGTTGGCAGGGGACAAACCTCTGGCAAAATACAAAGCTAAACAAAGTAAGACAAAGAAGTAGCAAACAAGAACAAAAGGTTAACTATTGTGAAGGAGTTTAACCTTTATCGATTGGCCTCACCTTTGGTGACTGAGAATAAAAACAGTTTCACCAAATTAACTGCGGCTTCGATAATAATCACGATCAGCCTTATAAACAATTAGAAGTAAAAGCTTTTCAATCTAGTGAGTGAACAGAATACATATACAGGTAGTCCTTGATCTACAACCATTCATATAGTGACCGTTTGAAGTTACAATGGCACTGAAAAAAGTGACTTTATGACTGCTTTTTTTTTTTTTTTACACTTATGACCATTGCAGCATCCCCATGGTTACATGAACAAAATTTGGACGCTGGACAACTGGCATGTATTTATGGTGGTTGCGGTGTCCTGGACTCATGTCATTACCTTTTCCGACCTTCTGACAAGCAAAGTCCTTCCCCAGTCTGACTGCCTTCCCTTCCTTCGGAGAAAGCCAGATTCACTTAACCATGTTACTAACTTAATAGCTGCAGTGATTCACTAAACAACTCTGGCAAGAAAGGAGGTAAAATGAGGCAAAATTCATAGCTTAGCAATGGACATTTTGGCCTCAATTCTGGTCATAGGTTGAGGACTATCTGTACACATATTACCATATTTTTTGGAGTATTAAGACATACTTTTTTCCCTCCTAAAAGAGGCTGAAAATTTGGGTGCATCTTATACTCCAAATGTAGCTTTTTCGAAGCTTTTTTCAGCCCTAACGAGGCACTAGCAAGTGAAGCGATCTCCGTGGTTTGCCTGCTTTTCTCATTTTCTCTCTCCAAAGATCAGTTGTGATTTAGAAGCTGTTTTTTATCCCCAAGCAAGGGATAAAAAAAAAACAAGCAAACTAATGTGCTGAAGCTGACCAGACTAAGGACGCTATCCAGATAAATACCTAGTAGGCAGATTTTCCCCACTATTTTCCTCCCCAAAAACTAAGCTGCATTTTACACTCCGGTTTGTCTTATACTCCGAAAAATACGGTATCTTTTCTTTTAAAATGAAACTCTTCTAGAATCATACATGTCTATTATGTATATACAGTATCATACACACACAGTCAATTTCCCATCCTGAGTCACAAGAATACTTACAGTGGCCACAAGGCACCCAGTTCATAACAAACCACCAAATATTCAACATAGTTGTATGGTGGTACACATGAAGAATGGTGATTTGGTGGTTATTTTTCCGTAATATAAAGAAGAAAGTATCCATAAATTCGATGAACTTTGAGAAGTAATACCACCAGAGGACCCGTATAATCTGGGAAGAGGAGAAATAGTTCAGATCTTTGATCCACAAATACATGTAAAATAAAACTTTGGGGCATATTCTCTGCCTCAAAGACAATCTTAGTTGGACAAGATCCTAGTGGATCAGTGTTCCTTCTGAGCCATTGTCTTTTACATCAGTGTTTCTAACCTTGGCAACTTGAAGATTGGTGGGCTTCAACATCCAGAATTCCCCAGTCAGCAACACTGACTGGGGAATTCTAGTGGTTGAAGTCCACCGATCTTCACGTTGCCAAGGTTAGAAGCACTGTGCCACGCAGCCTCATTCAGTAGTGTTCTGGGCTTCCAAACACAGGAGCATTTCACAGCCAGGTGTTCAATCTTACACCGAAAGCTGTTCAAAGGAAAGAGAGAGGTGGCTCTACTATGTAGTCCAAACACTTTGGGCACGTTTGAAGTAGCTACCTGATTATAGGTATAAAACTGAAGCTGTGACTAAAGCAAAAGACACTGTAATTTTATGCTGATTAAACTGTAGCTCAGGTGCATCAAAACTCACAAGGGAAATGTTTAATCCTCACATTGCTACAGAGATCCCTGAACAATCTGAGCAAACATGAGTTAAGGCTATTGTATTCCCTAAGCTTTTGCCAGGTTGGAGAGACTGAGATCCAGAGGAAGGTTGATTATGAAGGGAGATAACTAGTTTTTGAGCAAGCTACAGGCAAGCATATTTATGAAATAGCAAGCTAGCCTGTTTCGGTAGCCCATGTCGAAATCTGACTCAATTAAAACTAAGTTACAGGACAAAGAATCATTAGGCTGAAAAAATTGCAAACAAATGCCAGAATTAGGTGAGAAGATTGACCCTCTTCCAACAATACGATAGGTATCTGAGGGAAGGGGGTCTTTTTGGCTGAAACCCCAAAATAAAGAATGCAGTACAAACTTTTAGGAAAAGCTTCAAGACTAATTTCTTTTTCTTGGCATTATCCAGGATTATGGATGTTTTAGGCTCAATTGTTCGGGGAATTTTGCAATTTTAACATTTTACGGGATATCTGCTTTATTACTTAGCTTTCAGTAAGTTGTGATGTGTATTGCTTGCTCATTTCTTACAAAATTAAGATAAATATATTCTGTGGGCTATCAAATCTATCACTACCTAAGAGGCACTTGATGTAACTTTAAGTAGAGAATTAACCATTAACTCTCTTCATTTTAAGGTTTCAGATTTTTTTTTTAAAAAAAAAACATTCCCTGACCGCCACACCTCTCAAGATTGCACAATCTTCTTTTCCCCACTTAAGAGAAGCATTTCAATACCTGGTAATGAAAAGAAAGAAATGGATGGGATTGAGTCTCAAACAACTGGAGAGTCTCAGATTAAGAGGTCAACTGTACACCATTTACAGAGTCTTGAAAAGCTTTTTACATGCAATTCCCCAAGAGCCACAAGTGATAAGATTATTGTAATTGGTTACCTATGAGTTCCAAAACTATTCAGTCACAAAATTGTCTTTTGAACATTACAACTCTCAGTAATATAGTTGTAACATTTGACATATTCCCCTTGTATGATACAGTACTCTGTTTGGAAGAAAGGCAGGATAAAGATGTTAAATTCAAATGGAATTATCTGAATCAGATAATTTCTAGTGAATATTTTAACTTGGGAAGAAGATCTGAGCTGGTACTTCCTTGCTAAGTGTGACACGAAAAAACAAGGATGAGACAACCTGGCTCCTTTACTGACACCAAGTGCATAATAGAAATGGGGAGGACAGACAAATTATAGGATCCTAAATCGTTTTGGGTCTACAAGATTCGGATTGCAAATCAATCTAAAAATTCCTAAACGGCATTTTTGCAAATTTTAAAAAAGGATAATGATACTGAAATTTCAATATCTGCTGAAATGATATGACGTTGATCAGATTACAACTGGGAAAGCACACATTTGAATATTGCACAGATGGCTTATATCCAAGTTCCAACTTAGCCTGTTTTGATGTGCTCATTTTAAAATGAAGTTAAAAAAAATAGCAGTACTCAGTGATTATCTACAGCCTCCGAAGAACCATTAGGAGCATATCAATGATTCTTCTAAATGCCATATCAGATTAAAGGAGGCTTTAAAACCTCACAAAATAAAGGGTAAACATTTCAAATAGATGAGCTTGGTCTATTGATTCCTGGAATCGCTATTGAAATTGAAAGTCTAAAAATGTATTTTATTACAATTATTTTTAGTCTGACTTTTAGAATAGAGCCCTGTCAAGGAGACACGTAGAAAAAATGGTAACACTAATGATAGCAATTACAAGTGAGAAAGCAGCCTCAAAATACAGTTTAAGAAAAATTCAGGAATAAATGGAAAAGCAAAAAACAAGTTTGAACTTTAGAATAGAATGGATTCAGGGGTGAGGATTGGATGGAATGCATGAGCTCCCAATGGAAGTTCATCAGTCCTCAAGGAAAATTCAGCAAGGGTTGCTCAAACTTTCTGACCTATCTCTTCATCCTTAAAAAAACCCTTACATATACGGAAGACTGTCTTCTTTCAAGATATTAATCCACAAAACAGATAAATCAGAAGTGGAAATCAGAAGTGCATATTCCAAAGGAGAGCAAGAAAGAGGTTAAAAGCATTTTTCCTAAAGCAAATCATCTCAACAACACTTTGAACAGTGGTGAAATGTAAAATTAAAAATACCGGTTCTGTGGGCGTGGCTTGGTGGGTGGGTGGGGTAATGTGACTGGGTGGGTGTGGCCAACTTTTTTTAAAGCATTTTTTTACAACCTATTTGGGCGAATAGGTTGTAAAAAATGCTTTTAAAAGATAAAAAAAAGGCTCTGACAATCACAGCTGTGGTGCGCGATTGTCAGAACCTTTTTTTTTAACTTTTAAAAGCATTTTTTTACAACCTGTTCGGCTGAATAGGTTGTAACAAAAATTATTTTAAAAGTAAAAAAAAAAAAGGCTCTGACGATCACAGCTGTGCCTCGCAATCATCAGAGCCTTTTTTTTTAGCTTTTAAAAGCCGGAAGTAACGACACCCGGGTGGGCGGGCGGAGCCTCGTACCACCATCGCTACAGATTCTCTGAACCACCTGTCACAATCGCTACCGGATCACCCGATCCGGTCCGAATCAGGAGCATTTCACCCCTGACCTTGGAGATCTTAATTAGGATGTATTCCCCATTTCTGCAATGCAGCCAAACTGTTATGAACTCCCTAATTTGGGGAGGGGGAGAGATTGGGGTTAGGGTTGGGGATTATCTAATTTTATCAGATTAGATAATGAGCATACACTAGAGATTTTTTTGCACCATTTCCTTAAGATGAGTATGAGATATTTAACTCCCTGCCACTAGTTCCAAGTATTGTTCCATTTGAAGTGTTACATGCAAATACCTGTGTTTTATCAGAAGTGCATCATGAAACACAAGGGCTGAAAACGAAGGAATAACACTTGAATTTCTAATGCACTCCTGCAGGTTTTCATGGATGATATTATGTTTAGGCAGTATATTGTGAGCCAAGGCAAATTTTAAATAGGGACATCACATTTTAAAAAGGATTATTTGTTTAACTGCAGATTTACCGGTACTTAGAGTTGTTGTTTAAGAGAGTTTTCTTTGTAACCAAAATTTTTTCTGGGTATTCCAGAAACATTCCACATTCAATTTCTTGTAGACAAAATAATTGGTTCCAATAATTGTGTTTCTGCTCTGAACATTTTTGAAGTGAAGCATTTATTAAGAGTTGTATCAGGAAGGCCCAGGTTCCATTCTTCACCGAGTCTTAAAACACTGAATAACCTATCAAGCCCTTCCATCTAAATCAGACTCATAATAGTTGTTAGGAAACTGCGGTGCTTAAAGCCATTGACTTATTGTAAATATTATTATTTACTACTACTATTAAAATTTCACTTCAATAGTAAAATTGTGCTTCAGAACAACTTACACGGTATATTTTTCAATAGAAAAGCTAATAAATTAAAGAAATCAGTAGATTTAGAGTGTAGTACCACCCAGGTCATATTGCTTTTTAAGCAGCCAGTTCTGACTTTTTCCCCGTTAATTTATAAGCAAACCAAGCAAGGGTTTTTTTTTTTTTTTGCCAGACTACTTTACCTACTTCTCCAACATCAATAAGCCAAGACATATTTGTAAATCTTTCCCATGCAAGAGCCACACACATCCACAATCCCAATTGAAGGAAGAGAAATTAAGTTATCGTTCAAGGCCTATTACGGGCTACATTACTGCTAAGTCCTCGATAGCTTGAACAATGAAAAAAAGAAATCTACATACACCTTCTGCAAACGTTCGTCTTCCAACTCTTATGATAGGTCTTTATTTAGAGATGTTTGCACAAGCATCGCTTCCTTTTGCAAAGCATTAGCAGGCAACAGACATTAAAGGTTCAGTTGCCTTTTTCGACCGATGATTTCCAGATAAAGTAAACTTCAACTCTACTAGCTGGAATTGGAGGAGGAGTGGATTCTCAGCACATTTGGAAAATACCAGGTTGGGAAAGGGCAGAGCGAGAAGAGTGTCCTTCCAAAACAAGCACGCTCACACCTGTAGGATCTATCTTCTTCAAGAGGTAAAGTAAAGCAGCAGAGTCATCTTAGAACATTACCTTCATATCGGCTTCACCTCCACTGTGCGTATCCTGACAGAAGAAATTGTATCCTCCTTCCCATACTCCTGTCACCAGCTAGAGCAAAATAAACATTTAGTCAGTAGTCAGTAGCGGACCTGTATAGTGCTTACAAGTGATGCCATCAAATCATGAAAAAAAATCCAAATCATATCCAAGTCAACCCAGAAAAAGAAGGACTGTGGGGGTAGGCCTACCCCTGAGGTCTGCAACCAGAGGCTGTTTCCCTCAAAAAAGAAAACACCAGGAGCCACAAAACACTTCCCGTACCTGACTATTTCTTGAGCGGCCACAAAACTAGCATATGTAGTTGAATTAAACATTCTGAAACTTTTCTTTTCTTGGATTTATCCATGGTTGGCCTACCAGGGGTTGAAAAGCTCAATAAATTGCATGCCGGCAGGTGTTGCACATTGGCAGTTGTGACACATATTTTGAATGACAGGGAGCCGCAGCAGAGGGGTGAAAGAGCCACATGCAGCTCCAGAGCTGCAGATTGCTGACCCCTGACCTACCCCATGCAGGTAGTCCTCGACTTGCAACAGTTTGCTTGGTGACCACTCTAAGTTACAACAGCAATGAGAAAAGTGACTTATGACTGTTTTTTACACAACCATTGCAACATCCCCGTGGGTCATATAATTAAATTACAGATGCTTGGCAATTGACTCATATTTATGATGGGGTCATGTGATCACCTTTTGTGACCTTCTGTTGGGGTACCGATTCACTTAACAACCATGTTACGAACTAAACAACTGCAGTGATTCACTGAACAACTGCGGCAAGAAAGGTCGTAAAACGGGGCAAAATTCACAACAAAAGTTTTGTTTAGCAACATAAATTTTGGGCTTAATTGTGATCATAAGTTGAGGACTATCTGTAAAGCAGGGAGATTCACCCTTTCTCTATCTTTTCGTCACATCTTCTTGTTCTCTTTCCCTCTGAAGAGCAGTCGGAGGAAGGACAAATAATCCTTGCAAAGTCTGAACTGGTGCTCACAAAAACCTTCTGATATTATATGGAGGAAGGCTTGGCTGGAGGGCCAAAGGCAATCCCCACTCAAAGTGTTTTTAATATAAGTGGAAATTAAATAGGCTTTAGGATATTGCAATTACTTAACATTAAAATATTCCATTTCTTATACATGAGTCTTTTATGCTTCAGATGCCTATGCCAAACAGGTTCTGATGGTTTCAAAATGTAGAAGATTGATTTACACAAAAAAAAAAAAAAAAAAAGGAGGACTAGGAACGTACCACAATTAATTCTTACCTTTTCAAACACACAATTTGGTATGTTAATGTGATACAGGTTTCTCTTAGAATGACAGTTTATATTCCAATCTATTCCCATTAACCTTAAGTCACTTGGCTGATTTGCACAGGAAATAATTATAATTTTAAATTGGATGTTCCCCAGCTGATGTTAATCATAAGGAAAATATCCCAGAAATTAATTGCAGGTCAATATCAATGTTTCTAGTTTTTTTTAGAATCCTCCAAAAGGAATCAAAACAATTAACCATAATATTTGAGGCAATTTACATTAAGAAGGCATAAACTTGTTTCTATCCATTAACTTAAATTTGTGAGATCAGGGGTTCCTAAATGTTCGGCCATCACACTTCCCTTTAGTGGAATATCAATGTACACATACCTGCCCTAAGAATCCAAGCACCAGAATGAATACAAATGAACAAAGAAAATAATACCATGACATTAGTGAAAGGTGGGCTTTATTGTAGCAATGTTAACTCACGCTTCCCCTGGACTCTGTAGGTCCTTTTCCAAGAGTGGTATAGCTCACAAGTTCCCCAACTTTTTGCGCTTTGCGGACCAGCCTCATGGGGGTGGGGTGGGATGGATAGTTCTACATGAGTGGATGTGTGCGCACAGCTCCATTTGTGCAAGTGACGGGCAAGTGGTGATGCACCCAAGAACACATGCTCGCCCCCCGCTTTGGGCAGCCTGGTTCTGAACAGCTCACGGTCCTGTAATGGGTCATGGCCGGGGGGTTGGGGACCCCTGGTATAGCTCACAGTTTATGAAACCTAGTTCCACATCTATGGAGATTCTCAGTCATCCAGGTCATGGTTGTCCCAAAGGTGCTTTTTTTCAGGAGGCAGTTGGACTTTCTGGTTTTTCTTTGAAGACTTTTCGCTTCTCATCCAAGAAGCTTCTTCAGCTTCTTGGATGAGAAGCGAAACATCTTCAAAGAAAAAAACCAGATAGTCCAGTTGCCTCTTGAAAAAAGCACCTTTGGGACTAGTTGCACATGCTAGTTGCACTTGATTTGAACTGCATGGAGCCTGTCTTATGTGATATAAATCAGACTGCAAGTCTATGACAGGGAAGATCCATGGTCAAATCCCAATCAGCTATGATGCTCCTAAATCACCTGACCTCATTCAAGTCTTGGACTCCTCTACAAGTAATTCTTGTTTAATGATTGATCATTTTACGAACATTCAAAGCTAGAACGGGTGCTTTACAGCCTGTAACACACCCATAGCCAACATTAATGGTCACAGTGTACTCTTGCAGCCATATGGCCTGATTTTACACGGAAGACTCATTGCATTCTGCACTCATATGACTGCAATTTGTAATGTTTTTTTGCCAGTTTCCAAAAAACTACCCTTTCACATGTGCAAAAAAATGCCCTTCAAATGAATGGTTTCTCTTAATGAATGCAGTGTTTGGTTAACAATCATCACAAATGAAGCATATTTCTGGTTACGTGGGTATCTCGACTTATGACTGTAATTCTGGGATCAATTACTTTTAATTTTATTTTAGATTTTTTTTGTCCCACATTTATTATTTTTTTTGTAAATAACTCAAGGTAGAGAATGTATCTAATATGCCTTCCTCCTCTTATTTTCTCCATAGCAACAACCCTTGGAGGTTGGTTTCGCTGTGAGCAGTGGTGGGATTCAACTCAACTTGGATCGTCAGAGGCATTTAAAAGAAAAAAAAGGGTTTTTTTCTTTTAAAAGCCTTTGATGATCCCAGCTGAGTTGTGGGATCATTAGAGGCTTTTTTTTTTTTTTTTTTACTTTTAAAAGCATTTTTTCGGCTTTTTTCGGCCTCTGATGATTGTGCGGCTTAGCTGGGCATGGGGGTGGGGGAGAGAAGGGGCAGAGATTTTTGCTACCGGTTCTTCGGGCGATCCGGTCTGAACCAGGAGCATTTCACCCCTGCCTCACACCTTTAATTTTCTTTAAATACTCATAAATGACATTTCAGTAGCCTTTTTTTCTTAAAGTGGTAAGTGTATGGGGTCTATATACAAATAAAGAAGATGAACAAATGAACCTTCAAGACTGGAATATCTAAATAAAAAGCAAATAATAGGGATAAACAAAGCTGCAGGGCTTCAGCATAAAGGACAAATAAAGCTTGTCGTCTTAGAAACATAAAAATTACATAGCTGGGTCAGAGTGCTATGTTTCAAAGTGCATTTCAGAGACATATTAAGGAGCTAAATATAATTCATTATATGAATTATGGTGAGCATCAAGAAAACTCTACTTTATATGCAGTGAATTTCTACTATCACTTGTAACATGTGATGATCTTGATTCTTTTGACCTGTTTCCTCCTTGACCTGAAATAGCATTAAACTAGCAACATCCTCCTGAAATAGAACAGCTGCTCTGCATGTCCTTGTTCCTAACCATATACAGAAAATAAATAACACAAAGGACACTATATGCTATGAGATAGTGTTCTGCCAAAATTAAATATCATTTCCTAAAATACTGCAGGTGCATGGCAAACATACAATTTATGTATGTTGTTATTAGTTGCAAAGTCATGTCCGGCCCATTGCGACCCCATGGACAGTGTTCCTCCAGGCCTTCCTGTCCTCTACCATCTCCCGGAGACCATTTAAGCTCATTCCGACTGCTTCAGTGACTCCATCCAGCCACCTCATTCTCTGCCGTCCCCTTCTTCTTTTGCCCTCAATCATTCCCAGCATTAGACTCTTCTCCAGTGAGTCCTTCCTTTTCATTAAGTGGCCAAAGTATTTGAGTTTCATCTTCAGGATCTGGCCTTCTAAAAATCAGTCAGGGTTGGTCTCCTCTAGGATTGATCGGTTTAATCACCTTGCAGTCCAAGGAACCCACAGGAGTCTTCTCCAGCACCATAGTTCGAAGGCCTCAATTCTTTGACGCTCTGCCTTCTTTATGGTCCAACTTTCACAACCATACATTGCAATTGGGAAAACCATAGCCTTGACTATATGCACTTTTGTTGGCAGGGTTATGTCTCTGCTTTTTAATATGCTGTCTAACTTTGCCATAGCTTTCCTCCTCAGGAGCATCTTTTAATTGCTTGGCTGTAGTCCCCATGTGCGGTGATCTTGGAGCCCAGGAAAATAAAATCTGTCACTATCTCCATTTCTTCCCCATCTATTTGCCAGGAATTGAGAGGGCCGGGAGTCATGATCTTAATTTTCTTAATGTTGAGTTTCAAGCCAACTTTTCCACTCTCCTCCTTCACCCGCATCAAGATGCTCTTTAGTTCCCCTTCACTTTCTGCCATTAGAATGGTATCATGTGCATATCTGAGATTGTTGATATTTCTCCCGGCAATCTTAATTCCAACTTGTGATTCATCTAGCCCCACCTTTCTCATGATGTGCTCTGCATATAAATTAAACAGGCAGGGTGACAATATACAGCCTTGCCGAACTCCTTTCTCAATTTTGAACCAATCAGTGGTTCCGTGTCCAGTTCTCACTGTTGCTTCTTAACCTGCATATAGTTTTCTCAAGAGACAAATAAGATGTTCTGGTACTCCCATCTCTTTGAGAACTTGCCACAATTTGTTGTGATCCACACAATCAAAGGCTTTAGCATAGTCAATAAAGCAGAAGTAGATGTTTTTCTTTATGTATAGCATCTGTTTTATTTGAAGAATTGTCCTGTCTTGCAGGCTTAAATAAAAATCACCCTCATCCTGCAAGGCCTGAGCTACCATAAGGCATAACGTTTTCCTTTCTTACCTCATAAAACATATACAGGGACAGGAGAGTAAGTCCAATATTGTAGACCACTAAAATTCCCCTGGATGAAAACGGCTGTCGGTTCCGCATATACTTTGGTCCTAGCCATATAATTAATAAATATAAGACAGAGAAGAGAAAGGTAGGCCTGTAGTTCGTCAAGAGAAACCATCCTTTTACTCTGGGATCTGAAATAGAAAACAATTTTTATTACTATTATTTGTGTTTTGTGTCAACAGGGATTTAACCCTAGCAAATAGCTGCCCATTCGATTCCAACACCTCCCTCTCCCATCTCTTTAGAAAAGCTTCAGTCATAGAAACTGAAGGAATAATAGCTGGTAAATACACTAAAAAGGTCTTTTGTTCTTATTTATGCAACAACACTCCCCCTCTCATATGAGGCCTGATTTAACCGTGCTGTTGCTAAGTGAAGTACAACTAATTATGTTCTCTTTACTTTATAAAATGCTGTTCCCTGAAGGAGCACTTGATATGCCACTTTTCATACTGTATTTGTTTTTAAAATCCCGATTCGAAGTACCTGCAGCCCCTTTTGTTTTTTTATTTCTCCATTTTCGGTTAAATTTGATCTCCCCCATCCCATTATGGGATCATGTTTTTAATGAGAAGGATTTTAAATGAGACAAAGTGTCCAACTCACCGTTCAATTTGCTGTTCTTGCAATTTTACTGATGAAAACAGCCAGCAGTGCAGCAAAATAATGAGTATTAAATATTATTTTTGAACAATCAGCTTTGAATTCTCTTGGGAAGAACTGCTTTAGCTCGTCAATTCAAAGTGGTCTTCCGGAGTTAGAATTTTAAACTTTTATCCATTCATTATTATTATTATTATATTATATTTAAATTTGTATACCGCCCTTCTCCCAAAGGACTCAGGGCGGTGCACAGCCAGATTAAAATACATACAATACAAAATTTAAAATAATTTAAAACAGAATTAAATCTAATTGGCTTCCCGAAGTATTTAAGAATACTGGGGCTTCGCCTTAATTCCCATTCATCTGATGGCACAATTAAGCTAATGAGAGCCAGTTTGGTCTTAGGGGCCAGGCTAGAAACCAGAAGACTTTGAGTCCTGCCTTCAGCATGAAAGCCATCTAAGTGGTTGTTGCTTCCCATGCAAATATTTCAGATACCAAAGTCAGTGTGGAATGTGGCACTACTGAATTTTAATCCTATGCAGCAGTCTGAATGCCTGGAATAAATGCTGCACTGATTATGCTAAGCCGACTTCAAGCTGGCTGTGGATACAGAAGACGACTAATAAACATCTGAGGAATTCTATGAAGTGCATTTAAGAGGCAACAGCAAGTACTTATTTCGCCCTATTTGTAGAAGTCAAGAGACTGAATCAGTTAGGAAGAAATGCCTTGCTGTCCACTCTTCCCTATTATTTTTAATCTCACCTTTATTATTATTTTTTTATAAAGTAACTCAAGCTGGGGAACATACCTAATAGTCCTTCTTCCTATTTGCTGTACAACACCAACTGTGTGAAGTGGGTGAGCTGAGAGAGAAGGACTAGTCAAGAGTCACTCAGACAGCTTTCATGCCTAAGGTGGGACTAGAATTCACCATCTCGGTGAAAGAACCTCGGTGGTGCAGCGGACTAAAGTGCTGTTAAGTGCTAGCACTTAGCTGCCAGCTGCCTGCAATTAGTGCAAGTTTGAATCTCACCAGGCTCAAGGTTGACTCAGCCTTCCATCCTTTCGAGGTAGGTAAATTGAGGACCTGGATTGTGGGGGCAATAAACCAATTTTGTATGGAACAACACCGCTTGGGGGGGGGGGGGGGCGAAAGCCCTAATAAGCAGGTATATACAAAAAAGTATGCAGGCTATTGCTATAATGCATTGTAAGCCGCCCTGAGTCTATGGAGAAGGGCGGCCTATAAATTGGACTAATAAATAAATAAATAAAATCTCCTGGTGATTGACTCAGAGCAGTTCAGATGGCTTTCATGCCTAAGGTGGAACTAAACTCACGGTCTCCTGGTTTCTAGAGATCTTCTTAATTCCTACACCAAACTGGCTCTCTGTTATTAAATGCCCCATCTAATGGTTACAGCAGAAAAGAGTTTACAGTCTGACTGAGACATGCCAGAATCAAGAAAGATGTATAGGTAATCTTCAACATACAACCATTCATTTAGTGATCATTCTAAGATACAATAGCACTGAAAAAAAGAGACTTATGACTATTTTTCCACACTTGCAATCATTGTAGCATCCTCATGGTCACATGATCAAAATTCAGATGCTGGGCAACTGGCTTGTATTTATGATGGTTGCAGTGTCCTGGAGTCATGCGATCATCTTTCTGATAAGCAAAGTTAATGGGGAAGCCAGATTAATTTAACAACCGTGTTACTAACAACTGCAATGATTCACTTAACAACCGTGGCAAGAAAGGTTGTAAAATGAGGCAAAAACTCACTCATCAATTGTCTCTCTTAGCAACGGAAATTTGGGGGTCAAATGTGGTTGTAAGCTGAGGACTACCCATAGGGGGGAGTTTATTTTCTTGTAGTTTAGAAATGCATGGAGTAACAACTGCTTGTTTGTAAAGGAGCTGTCAACTTTATTTCCTTCAAACTATAGAGCTGAGAGAGGCTAAAACTTTAAAGCAAAGCAGCCTTCTAGCTGCTTGAAGCTGTCGCAGCTGAAGCAGACAAAGACTAGGCCCTGTCTGGATCTTAACAGTTCAAATATTTGAAAATTAGCTACATACCTCTTGGCCCAAGCCAAACATCCAGGTAGCTATTGATTGTTGTATCCAGGGATTCCATTTTAACACCTAGAAAGAAAGAGGAAAAAAACCATTTACTTTTCCCATAGACAATCTCTGGCTGAGACCCAATTAAGATTTAACTATAGTTCTGAATTATCTGATGCAGTTTTATAGGAATTGCCATGATAAGTTTTTGTTTTGTCTTTCTACTTTGACGACAGTTGGCATTAGGTAGCTGTATTTTCTGTACTAACTGTACTTGCTGCGTTTCCCTTGACAGTAAACACAAAGTTAGGACCTGCTCTAACTAAACGGTACACTGAATTTACAAAGGGTTCTCTTTAGTGAAGGTTAATTAATCGTACATTGATATTTGCTGAAGGGTGGGCAGCCAAATGTGGAGAACATCAGGTTGCCTACCTTTGCAAAAGAGAGAGAGAGAGAGAGAGAGAGAGAGAGGGAGGGAGGGAGAGAAATCTTCTTAAAGACTTTTAAATGCGTAATTAACAGTGTGATGTGTCTCAGCAAAGATATTTTACAATCTGGTAATTGGGAACAACAGAAAAGCTAGTAAAACCACTTTTCTGAACACAACATCGCTGAACACAATTAATCTTTAATGCAACAATAGTTGGGTGAGCCCATTGTCTGGTTATACTGACTGCGGAGTTTGATTATTCTCAGCTGCTTTTCAATGCTGTTTTAAATTATTTACGTTTTTGATCAACTGGCTGTGTTTTATTTTGCTCCTATTTCTTTTCTTAGCTGCCCAGAGTTATGTGTATGAGTTAGGCCGCCATACAAATTTACTAACTAAATAAATAGAAAATACTCTTGAAAATACTCTTTTCAAACACCGGCACACGACTGACAAGTTGAAGCTTGAAATTCTCCATTTTATAAATAATTCTGACTCACCTCTGTCTTTTTTTTTTCTTTTTTTAGTGAATGGACAGTGCACTGCAGTATTTAAATTAATGGAGTGCTCTCATACAAATCTTAGGAGCAGCTTGATCTTCCGGAACTATAACACAGGAGAACAATCTGTGACTTTATATAAAGCTGCCTCATCAATTTAGGCGAGTGGAACTGACCTTGTCAAATTAATTTTGGCTAAGGCTTACATCTTATGACTATGTAAACAGGGAAGGGCGGTGACCCAGTGGTCAAAAATATACCTCAGAAGGTGTATTTTTCCCATTCTAATAGTGGGAAAGCTTTGTGGCCTGCTTTCACATTAGCCTTCCAATGTCAGGTGCTACCTGGGAGGATTTCTGTTTTGCCAAGCAGGATCATACATAAATAATACTGGACTGGATTAAAAAAATACTTTCCACTAGTGATAACTCTGAATATTTATTATAAGCCTTCAGGCTGTCAGAGCAGCTTATTGACAAAGCAAAAAAATTATGAAGGAATAAAAACAGAAAATACAATTATCTTCTACAGAAATATTACTTAAAAATTTTAAGCGATAATAAAGTCTATACTAGATTTTTTTTAAAAAAAAAATCAAGCAATGATGATTGATTAGGGGCCATCAAGTGATTTTTGACTCCTGTGTTTGTAAATGCTGCAAAGAGAACAGAAAATTGTTTCTTTAAGTATTTTCTTTCTTCTCTTTCTTTCATTTCTATTGTCATTCACCTTTTCTTCTATCTTTTCTGTTTCACTTTTTATATCTTTTTTTCTTTTCTTTTTATGTTCTGTAGATTTTAACTTTGTAAAAAGAATCAATTATAAATTATGAAAATTATACATATACAGTATATTCCTTTCATTCTCCTTACTCTTGAGCCCAGTAACGTTACTCTTTGACATAATGACTGTGTTTGTAATTACCAACAGAACCAAGCCTTACTGTATTTTAGCTTAACGTGTTTTGAGAGCTGATCTCATACAGTTGGTTTATGAGCAAATCCAGAAAGTCAAGTTGAGTAAACAGTAATTTTACTATGACTTAGCATGTTGTGCAAACACAGCCAATGAATGTTTTTCAATGGAGAAGGGGGTCTTTAATCCAGACATTAATACATTCTCTTGGACATAACAGAGGTCTTTCTTAGCAAGTGGCAGCCCTCACCCAATCTAGGTTGGGCTCAAACTATTAGCGTGGTGGGGCCCGATTAGTATTTGGTCAGGAGACTGCCAGGTAATGATAGGACTTTAAATGATTGAAAAGAAAAAACAATATGAAAAAGGTAGTGTCAAATGACTTTGATAATGTTGCATGGCACTACCATAATATCATGGACTCACCAAGTAACGAACCTTACTGGAAGAGACATTACCTTTAACAGAGATCTTCTGCATATGTATTTACAAAGCAAGCAGAGTTTAAATAATTTTCCTTAAGGCAGGGGTCCTCAACCCCCAGGCCACAAACTGATACTGGTCTGTGGTCTCTTAGGAACTGGGCTGCACAGCTCAAAGTGAGTGGTGGGTGAGCAAAACTGCGCATCTGCGGGATCTAGCTTGCGTACTACTCCCCACATCCATGGAAAAATTTGTTTTCCATGAAATTGATCCCTGGTGCCCAAAAGGTTGGGAACTGCTGATTTAAGGTACTTGTAAAATTGATATTTGATATACATATAGTTTAGAATACAAATGTAAGAGCCTGTAGTACAGTGGACTAAAGCATTGTTATTAACAGATTAACATCTGCTGCTTGCAATTACTGCAAGTTCAAATCTCACCAGGCTCAAGGTTGACTCAGCCTTCCATCCTTTCAAAGGTAGGTGAAATGAGGACCCAGATTGTGGGGGCAATAAGCTGACTTTGTATAAATATACAAAAGTATTAAGGCTATTGCTTAACGCATTGTAAGCCGCCCTGAGTCTCCGGAGAAGGGCGGCATATAAATGAAACAACAACAACAACAACAACAAAAAAATAGTAGTCCTTGAGGTGTGACCAAAATTGCAACCAGAATTTCCGTGGCTAAGCAAGGCAGTTGTTAAGTGAGTCTCACCCAATCTTATGACCTTTTTTGGCCATGGTTGTTAAGTGAAGCACTGCAGTTATTAAGTGAAACACACATTTATTAAGCAGATCTGACTTCCACCATTAATTTTGCTTGTCAGAAGCTGTCTGGGAAGTCGCAAGTAGTGATTCACACAACCCCAGAACACTGCAACCATCGTAAATACATGTCAGTTGCCTAGTCTCTGAATTTTGAACTCATGATCATGGGGATAGGCAATGGTTGTAGATCAGTGCCGTACCATTTTGAACGATTGCTAAAAAATTGCTTGTCAAGTCAAGGACTATCTGTACCTAGATTTTAACTACCTTTAAGAAGAAAATATATTTAGTACAGGCCTGTCAAACTGGCGGCCTGCAGGCCAGATGTGTCACATACAGGCCACGCCTAACCCGGCTCCGCAAAGGCAAAAAAGGTCACGATACATCACATGACACGATCGAGTTTGACACCTGTGATTTAGTAGCTCTCCATTAACATACATAAGATACTTCAAAATAAAGTAGTTGAAATTAGCAGGATTAATACTCTGTACGCTGGATCTCCTTCAAGACAGAAATACCTGAAATCCTTACATCAAATATATACAGGACATCACTTCATTAATAAGAAAATAAGATACTTGCAAATCCTTTGGAGATGAAAATGAAAATAAAAATGGCCAACCCCCATAAAGACTTAAATGGTCAAAATATATTCTGATTTGTGTAAAAAAAAAAAAAAAAGTTAAGGGAGAGAAGATATTTTACATTTATTAATATGCACAGAGAACTGATATTTATTAATATTCTGGTCTAGCTCAAGCCAAGTATGGTATGGGACAGGATGCATAGTTTAATGTAAGATGCATGTCCAGACTTGAATGTAGAATGAATTTTCTAGGATAAGTCATGCAGTGTGTCACAGGCTGTATCTGTAAGACATCATGAATCACAGAAATCACATTTTAGGTTAGCAAGTTGTGTGATATGCTCAGTGGGTCACGGTACAATTGAGCTCTGTAAACTATGCTTAATAAATTTTAAGTACGGATAATGGGAAACCCAGTTTGGTGTAATGGTTAATGGTATTGGATTGGAAACCATGAGTTTTGGGTGACCTTGGAGCCACAGTCACTTTCTCTCAGCCCTAGGAATCAGGCAAGGACAAACCACTCCTAAAAATCTTTCCGAGAAAACTGCAGGGACTAGTTTGGGCAATCACCAAGTGTCAAGACTGACTCAAAGGCAAACACACAACAAAACACATTGTGCTAACACAGCTGTAATAAAGGTTGCATTGAAAATTAATACAGATATAGATGATATTTTTGTTTCCTGCTGAAATGGGATACTTAAGAGTTCCCAAGTGAGTCATCTGGTTGCTACCTAAACCATGTGATCATTTGGATGAGCGACTCTGAATCAGAACAGCAATTGATTTTGTTACATAATACTGTCATTGACCGAGGCGGGGCAGTCTTAGGTATACAGTTCTATAAGCACTTCAGTATTTACCCAATGTCAAAGTTGGCATTCAAAACCCTTCAACTGCACCGCTTTCAGCAACCAAAGCATATAAAGGAAAACAAAAACCAAAGACAAAGTTGCTATTCAATACCATTCACACATTCCAAGAAAAATGCATTCAGTACTGAGTTTTTTTCGACAAAGGAGTTGCTCATGCAATACAATGTTTGCAGCAACCGTTTCATGGCAAAAGTTTGCAAAATAAAAATTGCAAAAGAACAAAGTCCGTTGTGAATATGAAGACCTTAGAGAGCCAAGAAGAACTTTCCTATTTTCTATTCCCCACATTTGAATTCTCGTCATTTTAATGAAGTGCTCAAAATTACAATGAAGGGGAAAAAAGCCATCCCATTTTCCTCCTCTATTACAAAACAAAAGTTTTGTTTCTTCAAAACTGCTAAAATTAGTCCAAAATACCTTCCAAAAGTAAAGCAGGCTGGGGACAAATGAGGGGAAGGAAGAAAGAAGGGATTGCCACTGCCACTCAAGATGATTAGACCTCTTTTGTTTAATGATTTGTTATTCAGATCATGAAAGCTTCCATCAACCAACTTGGATGTAGATGGTAACAC